TTAACACTACAACAGATATTATAGATGGCTGACACACCCATTCACACTACAACAGATATTATAGATGGCTGACACACCCATTAACACTACAACAGATATTATAGATGGTTGACACACTCATTCACACTACAACAGATATTATAGATGGCTGTCACACCCAATCACACTACATCAGGGATTATAAACGGCTGACACACCCATTAACACTACATCAGGGATTATAGATGGCTGACACACCCATTAACACTACATCAGGGATTATAAATGGCTGGCACACCCATTCACACTACATCTGGGCTTATAGATGGTTGACACACTCATTCACACTACATCATGTATTATACATGGCTGGCACACCCATTCACGCTACATCAGGGCTTATAGATGGCTGGCACATCCATTCACGCTACATCATGGATTATAGATGGCTGACACACCCATTCACACTACATCAGAGATTATAGATGGCTGGCACAGCCATTCACACTATATCATGAATTATAGATGGCTGACACACCCATTCACACTACATCATGAATTATAGATGGCTGACACACCCATTCACACTATTTCAGGGATTATAGATGGCTGACACACCCATTCACACTACATCAGATATTATAGATGGCTGGCACAGCCATTCACACTACATCATGAATTATAGATGGCTGACACACCCATTCACACCATTTCAGGGATTATAGATGGCTGACACACCCATTCACACTATTTCAGGGATTATAGATGGCTGACACACAATTTTTAATTGTGTTATTGTCACAATTCTCTGAATACAGCTCTCCAATTGTGAGTAACTTTGCCAAAATATCATATGTGAAAGTTGCAGTATTTGTGAGTCACACGTTGCTGTTTGCAATGGGTAAATGTCATTTTTATGTAAACTAAACTAAACTAAAATATTGATATATTGTCCAGTATTACATGGAATACATGTAATACGCAAATTAAAGAAAAATATTCTTCATAATATTTTAATGAAAGTTCTCACTGTGCACCAGTATTCACAGGCTTTGATGTCTGTATATCTGACAGGTTCTCCAGATGTTGCCTGATAACTGGTCAATTGGACTTCTGCAACACTTCTTAGGGAAAACTCTGCGGACAAACATGCATGCTCACAGAGCTGTCAAGCTTGAAAGAATGCTGGCACGAGGTGAAAACTTACAGCTGAAAGCAAGTACTATGTTGGAAATGAAG